CGCACCTCCCGAATTAGGTCAGAGAATCCCTCACACCGCTCCGCGCCGGCTGCCCACCCTTCCACCCAGCCAAGCGGGAGATGGCGCCCCCCGCCAGGCGCCTGCAGACCCCCTCCTGCGGGCTTACCTGAGGGGCCCTTCGGTAGAGTGCGGTTTGGGTCACGCTAAGGTGTTTTTTAGCAGAGAAGTGGAGGAAAAGGAGAAGGGCTGGGAAGGAGAACGGGTCGGGGCCGTTTGCCCCCGCTTCTCCTAGGGTAAAAGTTAAAGCTGGCTTCCTTGGGCTACTTTGCCCTTATTCTTTGCTCGAGGCTTTTTTTCCCCCCCCCGCCAAAGAACAAGATGGAGAAGTCAGTGCTGTTTCTGTGCCATCTTGTCTATTTTCTTCCAATCATTAGGAAAAAAAAAAGAACTTAAGTAAATCAGGGGCAGTAAATCAGGGGCAGTACAGAGACATGTATTACTGCAAACTTTTAACGTAATCTGGAAAAACCTGCTACAACCTTGTTTTCAGAGTGGGCTTATATATGGCAAGTATAATAAAAGGGTGTTTCTGAGGCTTAAAATAAAAATGATCTTTCTGAAGCCTGTCCACATTCTGAGGGCCTTTTTTAGCAAAAGAAATAGCCAGAATATAGGCAGCATTAATTTCGTTACATTTTCCTCACAGAGTTAAGCACAGTGTTTCAAACCACCTTGTATACTCACGATCAGGTAAGCGCTGCAAGTTTTGTGGTATCTAATTTGGGTAAATCACAGAGAAAAGGCTATTGCTGTCTCTTAAAAGCAGAGATAGCAAAGCTGTTGTAACTCCGCTTCTGTGTGTAAAGCTATATCAAGCTCAGTAGCAAAGAGGAGAACGATCTAATGGGGAATACTTTCAGCAAAAATTAATGTTGAGAGAGAGGATTTTGCCAGGGCAGCCCTTGAGCAGCTGTCAGTGGAGATATTGAGTATGAGTCCACGTATGCTGAACCAGCTGCAGGCATCCTTACAGAAGTACAAAACCACTTTCTCAATATACACGTAACAAAACATGTCTTCAGAGGAAGAAAAAATGGAATTAGTGTCCCAGTACAGAGCTGAAGCAGAGCTAATCACATTAGCTCTTCAATTTTGCATCTCTCTCCTATATCAAGTCAAGGGATTATGGTTGGTTTTGTCAGGACTTGGAATAAAAGCATTTTGGTTTTGGTGGGTTTTTCTGTTGTTGTTTTGGGGGTTTTGTTTGTTTGTTTGTTTTTAATCTTATGAGAAATATTGAAAAGCTTTCAGAAATTTTCCAGTTGGAAACCTTTTGTTTCACGTCACATTGCATGTTGGTGTGTGCCAGCGGTGAGCTGGGAAACGATGTAGAAAGGTAAGAGTGGAAAACATAGTGGTTCCGAAACAAGTTCAGAATCCATAAACAGTGTTCCAAGCTGCTGCTTTTAGAGTGTTTTCCTGCAAAAATGCTATTACAAAATACTGTGGGTTTGAGGAAGATAACACATTTTGCAGGGTTTTTTTTCATAGTAGCTTTTTGAAGCATCTCTGATGGAAATGCAGGAACTCTGGTTTGTGCGTGTGTAAACACCGTGCTTGTGTACCGACGACGCTCCCTCAGACGTGCTCTGCAGGGGAGGTTTTGCATGGCACACAAACATCTGCGCACCCACACAGCCTAACTGTTGAGAGTTTAAGCTGCGTAAGGAACATATGGCTGGTCTTACTTATCTTCCGCTCATTTGCCAGCCAAACTGTGGCAGTCATCAGAAGTTTGGTAATCTACTGTGTGTGTAAGCAAGACGGGTTCCTTCTTTCTCTCCTTCCAGAACTAACCTATGTAAGAAGTAGCAATTTTTTCTCCTTTTTTTTAAAGTTTTGTTGAGCTAAACCTTTGGTCCCAGTACTTTGGAACTTTCAGACATGTATGTGACACTTGCATTTAAATGGCTACATTGGAACTGGAGCGTGACACAAGCTTTGGGAGGCAATACATACAGACTGGCCTAATATCTTGATGAATTTGGAATGCTTTAGAAATCTAGATTTTATATTATTATTAGCTTATTTGGCAGATTTAGGAGAATAAAAAGATTAACTCCAAATACAACCTGCAGCAACCAGTTGGGTACCTTTATCTCCATCCAGCAAAAAAATGGCATGAAAAACTATGGATTACTGATAAAAGATCCAGCCTGGATCTTAGGGTTCTCTAGCAGTTAATTAATTTTATTTTGTTTGAAATTAATAACTGTTTAGCTGTTCATTCCAGCTAAGGACTAACTAGCTGTCAGGCCCCTTGCTCTTGGACCCAGTGATTTCCCAGCGGTGCAGTCACAGCTGTGCTCCGGGACATGAGCAGAAGGTTTGTGGGTGGAGAGCTTTCCTTCCAGAGCCACTGCTTGGGCATAAAGGATGTTGCTGTTCTTTATTAATCTCTCTTGCCTTTCATCTTCTTGTGTTGGGCTTTTAAGCCCCAAGTTTAGGACTAGCCTGTGATTTCAAGCTTGTTGGCATGGGTGAGTTGATCCAGCCCTGTGCCCATGGCAGCCATGCCAGCCCAGACCATGGGCCAGCATGGAGAGGGAGCGCTCCAGCCAGCAGCAGGGCTGGTGGCCCAGGTTGGGGCGGGCATGGAGGAGCAGTGGGGAGCTGCTGCACTTCTCCCTGGGGAGAGCGGTCCCCATGGAATAAGGGAGATAATTTGTACCAGTGTGTGTCCATATGGCTGCATCGGTATAGCTGTTAGGGTGAAAAGATCTCTCTAGCTGTGCTGCAGATATGTGCAGGCCCTGAAGAAGGGCCTGTGGGCACCTGGGGCATCCATCTTCAAGACAAAAAGCTGGCCAGCAAGGCCTGGTGTGCCCCTCTCTCTGGAGAATTTGGACAAGGAGGTTGTGCTTGGCTTGGCTGAGTCTTTCCTCCCAGCCTTTCTACAGGTGTTTTATCTCACCACGTACAGGCTGTCAGGGAGCCCCTGAACACATCAGGTGGGGTTTCCCGACATGGTTTGCTTCAGGGGATATGCTCCGTGATGGTGGAAGCAGCTCCTTGCTCCTGGGATGCGTCCCTGCCCTTCTCTGAAGCACTCTGAGAAGTGCTGGTAGCGTGCACATCACTTGGGAGCCTCTGGGGTGAGAAATACCTGCTCCCAGGGTGTGTTGGAGAGCCCTAGGCTGCAGGGGTGAAATTCAAGGTGGCCCCAGCAGCCC